AGACTGAAAAAAGACATTAATAAGAGAAAAACAGAGTTTATTATTAGCATGTGAATCACACATACACGAGGGAGTGCCCAGTGATGCGTAACTCACAAGACTGGCTAGAATTTGAACTTGAACTCAACCCCCCAAAAAGGACAACGCTAGAGAAGTGACAAGACAAAGAAAAAGGACTTTGAGCTTCCAGGGGCAAAAACTATGGGAATGCAGATAACGAGGGAATCAACGGAAGATAAGAGTCAATGAAGTTTGTTACATGGATTTCTCTGGTGTCATTTGTGGTCTGATCAGGATGGACAGTGTCTCCGGGAATCAACTTCTGTCCTTCCTGGCAGAGAGCGAAAGCGGGGACAGCTTTGCAAATTCATGTCCTGCTTTTAGGCAAATGGAGTGGGGAGGACAGAGAGCTTTTCTTGTATCTGCTTCTTCTCAGTTGCCTTCAGCTCAAAATAATCCTTATGCCTAAGTGCTGTGGTTGGGGGTGACGTGTTGTGCCGCCTTTCAGCACCTTGCACGTGATTGCACGCAGCGGGTGCTTGATGAACGTCTACTGAATTGAGCTGCAATGAAAGCAGAGGCAACTGTCCTTTTTCTAACTGGAGTCTGTCTAAGTAATTTGCTCCGTGCAACAGAATAAATAGATAGAAAGCTTTGTGAGCTTCGGCAGAGCCCAGAGGAAAGTTGCTGGCTGAGCCAGGAGTTCCCAGCTTCTGCTGACTGCTTCTGCTTTGCTTGCTGGGATCCCTTCATCTTCCTTTCGGAATGTGGGGAAGATACAGTCAAGTGATAGCTATAAAAACTCTTTGAGAAAATGTTTAAAGCATTATACAGATAGAGGTGTTCAGATGACCTGTACAAGCGCCAACAGCAAAAATGTGTTATGTGCATTCAGTAAGTGTTGGCTAGTAGTGTTAAATGCTGTTTTCTCCCCAAATAAGTAGTAAGCCCTAATACTTGTGCAATACTTCCTCACAGGTATGAATTAGGAGCTGCTCTGTTTATTGGATGGGCAGGAGCCTCACTCTGCATAATTGGTGGTGTCATATTTTGCTTTTCAATATCTGACAACAGCAAAACACCCAGGTATGGAAAAGAGACAAAAATGACCTGTTAAAAAGTCTAATAGTATTCTAAATTGTTACCTGTAGGACAAATTATAGGTAGTTCACATGATTCTTAGTAACTTCAGAAACCTAGAATTGGGAAAGGTTAGGAATGTATAGTAAATATAATAGTTAAGTATAGCAAATTTTATATTGAATATTATATTATTGTATTATATTATATTAGGTCTAACTCTGGGGGCATATTCTTCACTTTGGTCTCGTAATTTTCACAAAGGCAGAAATTACTGATAAAGGTCACTCTGGTCTCCTAGGTTCCAGGAAGATGAGTTTTAAAATAATAGCTTTGAAGAAGAGTAACAGGACAGATAAGCCATTTCTTCTGCAGATTCTCTTGATCACACCAGCTGTTCGGAAATGACATTGATGTAGTTTTTGAAGCGAGAAAGAAGAGGGAAGAAAGTGAACAGGAATCAGGGAAAGACAAACTTAGCGATGACAGAAATAGGGGGAAAGTGGTTTCTTCCCGTTTTTGTTTGCCTTCCATATAAGAGACTCTATGAAACTGTTTTGCCTTTCAGAATGGGATACACGTACAATGGGGCCACGTCTGTCATGTCTTCTCGGACAAAGTATCCTGGCGGAGAAGGAGATTTTAAAACCACAAACCCTTCAAAACAGTTTGATAAAAATGCTTACGTCTGAAAAGAGCACAGCCACAAGCTGTGTCTTGAGCTCGTGACAAACGTGAACTGTTCACAAAATGATCCCGAGGTCCTCCTATAATTAACACTCAAACTACTTTTCAAATATGAATTTGAAGAATTTGTTGATTATTTGGATGTAAATGTCCTGACCTAGTTACATACTAATCATTTTCTGTTGTGGCTTTCTTTAAAAAAATAAACAGGCTATTTACAGAATTTGTATATATTTCATACATCCAAAAAACCTGTAATGTATTTAGCACCAAAGATTCCAAAAGTATTCATAATGTCATCTTCTTAATCATTCAGACCTTGCAGTATTTGCCGTTTTTTATGTTTCTTTTCCTTCATATATTAAACAGAAGGTATAGACGGAGTGGTGTCTTGTAAACAGTCTGGGGGAGATCTAACACTCTTCTTCGAGATGTTTGGGTTGAACGGACACATTCCTGGCTGTATAGAGCCGACTTCTAGTTTCTCACACCTGTCTGTCACCACCGTCCTCCTCAGCAACTATTCAAGGAAGGGCTAACGGGGCCAAGACGCTGTTGCCCATTGCCTGGCTCATCCGCCTTAAATACCTGCTCAGCTTTCTCTGATACAGAAAGTAGGTTCTGGGGTGGGGAATCAGCAAAAGGCAAGTGAGAGATGCTGATCGTGGCTGCCTTCGGAGCCAGCAGAGGCAGGCCTGGAGCTGCGTGGTGCCTGCCTCACTCATGACGGCTGCGTCCCACGTGTCGCTCAGGTCCTGTGTGTGGAACTAAGTGGTAATGGAGAGTTTACGCATTTTTCAAGACACGTAAGATGCTGCATTGACCTCTGAATAGACAGTGTTTTATTTCTAGAGCTGGCTTTCTTACCGCATGTCT